TATCGGGGCATTTTAACGAGTACGAGTACAGGAGCTCAGTATCGGGCCCGATACCGATACTCAGTACGCACCCCGTCTGTGGAAATTTGGCCTGGACCGCTTCCAGAATAAATCACTGAGGCATTTTTGTCCCGTCTATTGCTTTGGTTATCACTGACAAATCACTGTTATTTCGAGAATGAATCCAGCATAAAAATATGCGGATGTCATTCCCGAAACTTTGCAACATGTATGTGTCCGAAAAACGAAAGTTTCATACAAACTCTTAATGGATTATATAACCAAGAAAGCACGCAAAGCGTGCTCCCATTATTATCGCATCACTCATCTTAGGGCATTGCAATCTCACAAAGTTCTGTTGTAATCAATGAAAGTCTCTAAACTACACAATGAATCTCTTATTTATATCACGTCTGCACTTATGAGATGATTCACGAGCGTAAAAAACTCAGATGCTTTGAGTGGTGAGTGAATTCTGAAAACTCTTTAACGTTTCTGATTGGCCATTGCGTTGAAGAAATCAACTGATATATCTGTGATTGGCTACATTGCTCATTGTCGCAAAAACACATTGGATAGTTTGCTTGTGCTTTCGTTTGAGGGTATTTAGCGCCGTCTAGTACCTCTCCCTGTACAACCAGGCTTGGGCTTTGCTAACCGCTCCAATTGCATCTGGGATTTCATGACTAACGATATGATGGGGCAATTGGGCACACAGATCTCAGAGGACCTCTCATAGATGACAAACATCTCTGCGCTAGTCAAGAAGGCACAAAAGCAGCTGTACTTGAGTACGCTCAGAAAAGTAAACCTGTCATTCTACTGCTGCTCCACTGAGATTGTCCTCACATTTATGATGCTTGTGTGGTATGAAGGCAGCTCTGCAGTTGATAAAAAGGCCCTGCAGCTAGTCATAAAGATGCAGAACATTGCAAACCAATAGCTACCTGCGCTGGACAACAAATTTACCTTCCGTTGCTGCAGAAAACACACAGCATTCTGAAGGACTCATATCACCATGCCCATCATCTGTCTGAACTATTGCATTATGGAAAACACTAGAGGGTCTATTAAAACATTCACCACAAGATTCATGAACAGCTATCACTATACTGAACTCTGCACTGAACAGAAAACACCCTCCAGCTACAATATATCTATTCCCTAGATGGCCAATGAATTAGAGATCTTTACGAGTCTCAGTTTCATTAATGGTGCGTTCAAGTTATGTCAGAGTCATAGATCGTATTTACGAGTTGAACGCACATGAACGCCACCACAAAGTCGTTATTACGAGTGGGAAACTCGAAATTTTCTTTAAGCCCCGAGTTTCCGAGTTGAGAAACATGGCGGAATCGATGGATGCAACGTCTGTAGTTGATCAATGAGAAACATGGCGGAATCAATGGATGCAACGTCTGTAGTTGACGCTAAATTTTTGTTTAAATTGATAGTTTAGCTGTCCTATAAACTTAAATTGGTCATGTTCTTGTTACGCAGCTGAAATCCAA